AAAAAAAAAAAAAAAAACAAAGAATTGAAAATATATGCATTTTTTACATGAGCTGGAAAGACTCTTCTTCAGATATATATATATTCAAAGAATTCGGTTTTCACAAATTTGCAATATTAGCAATTTACATCCTTGCACGCATTTACATCCTTGCACTTTAACTTTAATATTACTGGTGATCGTGCATCTCTCTGTACACATCCTCTTTGAATACGAACACGAGCCAATACCGTTAGCGGTAGAGAGTTTCGCCCGCGGGCAGATCGACATGCGTTATAAGGGGAGACATTTGGTCCGTTTCTGAGCAACGACCGATTGGCAGTCGACCTTAGAACCGAGGGTGAAATTCTCCGGCTTGACGGTCTCCTCGACGGAAATTTTGCCGAGTCGCTTCTTGGCGCGGAATGGCGTCGATCGCGGCGACATGATCTCGTAGATGTCGCCGGTTTGCTCTTGAACGTCCTCCTTAGAACTGTTCATCTCCTGATCGACAGGAATGATAGTGTCCACCTCGGCGCAATGATTGTGATTAGGCTTCTTCGGTTGTTGTTCCGCCAATTCGGTGACGCGTTCATCCATTTCCTCTTTGTTCGTCTCTTTGGACGGAGAATTGAAGACGTCTGAAGAGTTACTTTTGAAATCGCAGGTCGCCAAATTGAGATTCTTGTCGACTTCTTCAGTTCCGCACATCAAGTCTCTCGCGGAAGCCAAGGAAATCGCTCTGACTTCCGGTTTCTGAGGCTTCTCCTCGTCGGCGTAGTCCAGCGACAGGCATTTCTTTTCGAACAGAGCCGGGCCGAGAGATTTTTGTTCGAGTTTGGTCTCGCTGTTCGACTGGTTCTCCTTATTCGACGTGACCTTACCCTCCTCCGTGGTCTCCAGCGAATTGATTATTCTGGACGGACGTCGGACGCTGTTCTCTCGCTCCACCGATAGACAAAATTCTTTGTCCGTTAACAAAATACGCTTCGGCGTTCGTACCGGTTTTTGTTCAAGGTCCAGATCTTTTTCCCACGACGGAGTTTTCAACAAGCTCTTGACCTTGAGCAGTTCCGTCAGCAAATCCATAGTTTCTTGCGACGGTTCGTGAAATATATGTCGCTTCGGACGTCTGATGGACGAGTTAGTGTCCGATTCCTGATCGCTTGGATGTTCGATCCTCTCCTGTTTTCTCAGAATGGATCTCACCGTGCCGCTTTCTTGACTCGATTCTCTCGACTTCGACTCTCGTTTATCGTCCGCAATTTCGGTCGCGTCCGAGTCGTCGACCGCCGCGACGTTTTTCGTTCGAGATACATTTTTCGCGATCGCGTCGGCAGATTCCGACGGCAGAAGATTCAGTCTCTCGTGAAGACTTATCCCGCCGTGAGCGGCTCGAGTGCGCCGTTTGAAAGCCGCGTAACTCTCCGTAGGTATTTCCTGAAGCTTGAACTTGTCCTGCAGTTGCTTGAACGTTTCCCTCGTGTACTCCTGAGCGCTTCGACGCGCCAACGAGTCCTCCGACGAGATTTCTCGTGTTTTTCCCGCATCGTCGGTTATGGTGCGCGAGGCGGGTGCGAACGAAAACGCGTCCTTAGCCAGAAGATTGTCCGAGGATATGCCCCGTTTCTCGAACTGATTGTACTTGGTCAATCTGCGCGTATTCTCGACTTTTTTGCTATCATCGAGATTCGATTTCCTGGTCTTCGTCGGAGAAAGAATTCCTTTATCCGCGTTGTTTTTAGACTCGATCTCACGATCGGGAGAAACGCTCGAGATAGGTCGCTTTGTGGGCGAGTTCGGCGTGCTTTCGTCGCTGCGAAGAACCTCACGGGAATCCTGAAGAACTCTTCGGCGAATCGGAGTGACCGATTCCTTTCTCGCTCGACGCAATTTTCGAGGCGAGTTATTCCAACTATTAGCCTCACCCGCGTGCAGATCCGCGTGAGTGATGGAGGAAGATATTATTTCCTCGCTTGTGGTCACTCGACACTTGAGCAACTCGGCGGTCACGCAACTGGTCGGTCGAATCTTCAATTCCGATCTAGACGCGATTCGTTCAATGTTCGAAACGTTGCTGGTTTCGGTCGGCAACGAGCTCGGACCTGAATCCAACACGTCGTCCAGAGACGAGCCGCGTAACGTTTCTTTTCCCTTCGTTGAAACGGAATCCAAATCCTCCGTTTCGAACGAATACATCTTCAACAGGAATTCTTTGCCCGAACGTCTCCTCTCGAAAGTCGTTGCTGCCGTTGTTTGCGAGGTGTATGGAGATTTCTTTTGTTCCTCCGAACGGGAAGTAACGAGCGGTGACTTTTGAACACTTTCCTTCGGCATCTTATCGACGTTATCTTTAGCGCCAACCTGATCGGTTTCGGGCTCGCGATCAGTCACGACGTCATTTTCCACTTCGTCGTGAATCTTCGTCATTTCGTTCGCTCTCGTCTCGGTTTTAAATTCCCTCTTCCGTTCGTCCATTCGCGACGTACTGAAGAAGAATTTGTCCAGAGTTTTGGACGAGCCGATTTTTTCCAAAAACGGTCTCTCAATGGCCTTGCTGGGCCCGATTTTCTCGAGATAAGGCTTGCCGATGATACGCGGCGTCAACTTGGTGAAGAACGGTCGGTCCTCCGTCTTCGAGGTGCCGATCTTTCTGAGGAACGGTCTTTTCTTGTCCTTGTCCTTGATGATATCGGACGAACGATCGCTAAGTCGATCGTTGCTGTAGTTCGATGAATTGTCGCTGCTCTTGGAACGCGATCGTTTCGTTCGCGACGCGTACGGCGTGAGCGGCGTTCTGGGAGTTCGCGGTGTGAGAGACTGGGGCGGACTGGGTTCCACGTTCGGGCACATTTCGTCCAACAGATCCATCGCGCTCTTCAGATCCATGCAAACCATTCGCTGCACGGACGTAGCCGGTCTCGGAAGATCGCTCTCCATGCTGCTGTTTCTCGTCGAGTTCAGATCCAACTTGCCGTCCCTGCTGTCGGCGTACAAGTACGAGGGGTACGAGCTCCGATCGCCCATCGGCCCCGACGACGTGTCCGTCATCGGATAGTCCTCCAGGTACCAGGGTGTCACGCCGAGGTCGTCCGGCCTCGAGGCGGGACTCTGCGGCATTATCCTGCCGACGGCACCTTTGCCGCCGGTTTGCTGTTGCTTCTGCTGTTGCTTCTGTTGGTATTGCTGATGTTGCTCCTGCTGATGATCCGTCGTGCCGCTGCTCGATGACTGCGCGTCGCTGATCGATACCTCGTTCGACGTGCGACTGAGAAGCGGTCTGCGATAGCCGGAACAGGTGGCGAAATGCGGCGGCGCCGGTCTCGTAGTTTCCATGACGACGCGACCCTGGGCGCAAGGCACCATCGGTTCCCCGTCCGCCGGCGACTCCTCCGGAGGGGTCAACGGCAGCGGTGCTCCGCGACCGAATTCGATGAACCACAGCTCGTCCCTCAACTCGTTTTCTCACTTCTTCTCGTATGTTTCTTTATTCAGATAGTGTAGCACGTAGTGCAGAACCAGATCGTAGCAATATTTGTACTCCGTCTGGAAGAAGATGTCACAAAGATCTTTTCTCGTATAGATATCTCGCAATTTTCACAATAAATGGAACAACTTTTCATACAAAAAATGTCAAACAAAATTTATGCTGAGCAGTTTTTTGATTAAATTATATTTAGATACAACACATCATAAAAATATCATCTGAAATTTAATAAAGTACCATATTTTCCACAAGCTGAGGCCTGTGCCTGCGCACAGTCTTGACAGCTTGGAAAATATCAACTTCTCCGTGCTGAATGACTTGTTCGATGCACGCGTTGGCGGCACAATAGACCCCGCAACGGCTTCTGCCGTCGGGCGAGACCACAGCCACTGGCCCGTAGTCCGTTCGTTGCCTCCATCTCTCGACCATATTCATGAGCTCGACCAAACTGTTCGTGGAGGTGGGCACTTTGTGGCCCATTGGCCAACAAGTCAGTTGGAACAATTGCACGGTTTTCGGCGGCGCCTTCACACCCGCCATCAGTTCCGTCAGCGAGACAATTTTCTTATTTACCCTAAAAACCTGGAAAATGGAACATCATCGTTTCAAAGAGCAAGAAAAACAAGTTTGGAAGAAAGTTTGTCGGAATTATCTCAACATCAAGAAGAAGAAAATATATGTGAGTCGCAGTGAGTCTCGTAAACATCCACCAAAGATTAAGTGATGTCCCTTCTTACCCAGGTTTTTATATTCGTGTAATGGTTATGGCTGATATGGTCGATCGTGAACACGGGGCCATATTTCTTCGAATGTCTTCCTTCCGGCCAAAAGCTCGGGAAATTTGTAGATCCCTGAGGTGGCACGCACAGTACCACTACAGCGGCGCACTCGTAGTCGTAAACCAAGGACCAGAATTCGCCGCACGTGTGCCGAAGGGGCCATTCTGTTACGATATATTCTCTCGGTTTCGTGTAACCCTGCGTGGCACGAGAGTGGATGAATGTTTTTGGGAGGAACTTGGCAACACGATTGCCAAATGGATCGCGGGACAATAATAAAATGTATATCCGCAAACCCCTTTCTATATATATATATATAGTCAACGCGAGAATTGAAAGTTTCTCTTTGCTTTGCAAAGATTAATGTAAGCGAAATCTGTGGGAATGTGTATAAAAAATTATTTTATATTCTGTATACAATATAAAGTTGGTTTCTCGCGCCAGATATTCATTTTAATTACCGCTCGTTACAGAGCGACGTGCTGTATATATATATATATATGCACAAAATTTATACGGAAGTTAATTTTATTTAGAACACACGCGCGCGGACTTTTCTCCCTGACGATGCAAAGAAAGTTTGAATAGACGAAAGTGGAATGACACGCCCGGGTTAAGTGGATGATTTATTTTACTGGCTTACGTCCACAAAGACGGCGTTTATGTAATCCGTGAAACTGTTGCCCTGGAAACTAGTGAGGTACGGTCGAAAGTTGTCCGCTGTAACAAAGGAAGAAATTGATTTGTGTGTAGTAGCGCGGTTGGGAGGGGTGGAATCATTTGTCCGGGACTGTTCGCGCGCGCTCGTTCGCGCAAAGTTGAAACTCACGTGGCACCACCAAGACGTCCCTGTTCTTCTCCCTATTGTCGGCCCTGTGTCCGCCGGCGCAGTCGCCGATCGTAAAACGCGGCGTCTGCTTGCAAATCTGCTGATACTCCCGCTGGTACTCGTTCATCTTGGTTATCGGATTCTTTATGCTCTTTTGCTTCAGGCGTTGTGACAACTCCGCCACGGGAAACCACGACGTGCCGCACACGACGAACTCCTCGAGCGTGTCGTATATAAATTTGTACTGTTCCTGTGTGTACACGGCGAACAAGAGTTACAATATCGAGATTACAGCGAAGATACGGAAAAAAAAAAAAATTAATGAAATTTTATTTATCTAGCGATAAATAAATATTATTCAGACGAATGTGTTATGTTGTGCGTGTACGCAAAACTATTTGTTTTTATTGTTACGTAAAAACTCTTTTAATCGACAATTAATAAAGAAACTTAAGGCTCTCTTGAAGTAATAACTAAGAAATGAATAAGAATAAGATCATACGAGCCGCTTTGCAGGGTGTTATGCTGAAATGTTCTATTATATATATATATACATATATATATATGTTCACATGTAAATGTTTACACGTGTTTTTTGAATTGAAATTTCAATTCTTAAAATCATACAGTATGCTATACTTGCATCTCATGTATGAAAGATCATGTGTAAAAATTTACATGTGAACATATCGTCACTCCCTACGTATAATCCCGTAACTCCAAAACGTAAATTTTAGAGGAGAGCAGTTTAAAAGTTTGAAGCTTCATATAGTTTCCCTAGTTAAGGGATCTTTCGGTTTTAAATTTTTACCATACTTATGAATATTTTTTTTTTAATACTTGGTGACCACAAAGAACATGACTTTCTGAGTGTCACTATGCAATAAACTGAAAATCCCATATGTGACACTTATGTAATTATACGTAGGGAGTGACGATATATATATGTATACATATATATAATAGAACATTTCAGCATAACACCCTGCAAAGCGGCTCGTATGATCTTATTCTTATTCATTTCTTTTAATCGAATTTTCGAATGCGAGATTTGTAGTGCGCTTGCGTACCGCTCAACGGATTATATAATAACCGTACCATATTTTCTATAAGCCCTTTTCTGCTCTGCTTGAGTTTCTTCAGATAACCGAACACGTCGAACGCGTCCTCCTCCTCGGCCAGCTCCATATTCGCGTCGATCGCTAAGTACACCCCCGATCGTCCGCCGCCGTCACTTTTTGTATCACAAAAAACATTTAGGTTTTTAGTTTCGCGCGAGCGCGTCTCTCTCTCTCTCTCTCTCTCTCTCTTTCTCGGCGCCAATCTCACACAATTCGTAAATTTATATATCGCCAAGTGCTACTCACTTGCAATGAACGATCATGGGTCCGGATTCGTTCTTTATGGTCGATCCCACGACCGCCCTTACGCGCCGTCGAAATTCCAGCACCGCGGTACCGAAGGGACACGTGTGCGAGTGCCATGCGGTGTAATGAAACTGCAGCAACGTTCTCTCTTCCGTAATCTCCTGAAAATGATTTTCCGCGCGCGGAAAAAGTTACACACAAAAAAAAAAAAAAAGAAAACAAGCAATCATCCGTACAGAATGACGACGACGCGCGATAATGATTATTTTATCATTTTATCGCGCGTCATTTATTTCTCTCCTCTCTCGTGTTTCGCGCCTCGTTACAATTTTTTTTTTCTTTTTTTTCCACTGTAAACTACGCTATTGTCTGGCGAACTGCGAACTCGAGATGTATAACTTCCGAGATTAAGCATCGTGAAATTTACGATCGCGGAAAATGCGGGAAATCGTCGCTTAACGGGATTAGTGTAGTGGCGGGAAAACGACTTCACGGAGCCAACTTGCGCGGCAAGATTACTTTGCGCGAGAGAGTCGAGGGCGCAAGATTCTCTCTCTTGGTATTGTTGTCCCAACAATGCCGCTTTAAGCACGACAATTGCGCGTTTTGCGTCTGCAGAGGGACGACGCGCTGCATACGTCGTCGTGACATACCCTTCTCGTAACCGCCTCGTACACTTTGCTATTCCCGGAATTGGGTTAGAGCGAGCGAGGGGGAGGGAGGAACTCTCTCCTCTCTTCTCTCTTTTCTTCCATATTAAATTTCGCGCCGGTAAATCTCGAGAGTAATTATTCCGTTGCGCTCGGCCAATTCGGCGTGTGCACATCGGTGCTTTTCTCGGTGTCTATATCGTCTCGGACGAGGAGAACGCGTTAATAGTCCTTTAACGCGGAAAAGTGCTGAACGCGGAGAGACAGAAGAGTGACTTTAATGAGATGTCACGTGTGTTGACATTCGTGTGTTGACACTCGTTTTCGAGACGAGAGAGAGAGAGAGATCCGGCTCGTTTACCAAGACCAAGTTGCTCTCTCGTTAGCGATAAAATCTCGGAATTAAACCGCTTTACGTAGCTAATATATGTATATCGCATATTCCTTCCTTGAGAAGATCGAATATTTATATTATTTACTTCGCTCAATTAAGTATCTTTTGCCTCTGATTAAAACAATATTAATTTATATACAGGGTGTCCCAGAATTGCCGTACAATCTCTCGTAGGCAGGTAGAGGGAGTAAAACTGAGTCGAAAAGTCCTGAACCATTTTTCTCTATTATTTATAATAAAAGAGTAATTATCGAGTAAATCAGGCCAATCAGCGCAGACCTTTAGCCAGACGCGCGTCAGTGAGCCGCGCGCCTGGTGTGTGTAAACGTCTGCGCTGATTGGCCTGATTTACTCAATAATTACTCTTTTGTTATAAATAATAGAAAAAAAAATGATTCAGGACTTTTCGACTCAGTTTTACTCCTTCTACCTGCCTACGAGAGATTGTACGGCAATTCTGGGACACCCTGTATATACACATAGTTTATTAAAAAAACAAAAATATAACAGAAGCGTTGGTGCGCGGTTTTTAAAAATTGAACACGTGTGTGCGTGCGCGCGTGTAAACATTCGCGTTTTTGACGTGATTGAAAAGGTGCGCTCGAGACACCGAGGGTTTACAGGACAGGAGGGACGCGCTAACGCGCGCCCGCCCGCGGGAACAGCTTTAAAGCTCCGGAAGAACTCATTTCAGATAACGCGAAAAAAAAAGTTGAACGAAAAAACTGGGACTGGGACTAACGAGTGCCGGCGGTGGAAATCGCGGATCGCACACAAAAGGCGCGGCTCGCGAAAGAAGAGAGAGCTTTAGAAAGTCGGCCGCAATTGTCGTGTTCCGCCGCGCGTTCTATCGCGGATAAAGCGTACAATTAAATTAGCCGGCCGTAATAGCTCCTTCAAGCAAACTTGTCGTCGTTCGTATCGCCGCTTCGCGTCGCATTATGCATTCAGGCAGCGCTGAAATGACAAGGCTTGATACAACCTGCCTATATATATATATATGCGCACACAGTTAATCTCGCCCGCTCTCTCTCTCTCTCTCTCTCTTCCGCAAAGTTCCGCGATCCGTCGTCGTTTTCCGCCTCGCTCGTTCGAGATCTCCTCCTCGCTCTCTCTCTCTCTCTCTCTTCGCGACGCGCAAGTTTCGAGTTCGCGTCAAGAGAGTTCGTCGAATACTCTCCCCGCATTTAAGGCACTTTGTCGGAATACTCTTCCCCCCCCTTCCACCCCCCCGACTCCTTCGTCTAGGTCGGGGGAAATTTTTCTCACGGTTAAAAAAAAAAAAAAAGAAAATTTCCAAACGCCCGCGTGGTGGATCATCCGCGATAATCTTTGTTGATATGGTACGCGTAACGCTGGTTGTAAGCTCTTACTTGATTTATTCAAGGCCTCGATGGTTGCACCATATGAATATTCGCTCCGCATCACGGTGGATTTGTGTTCGCGCGCGCTTGCCGACAACGACAAATAACGTGTACACGTAGCGAAATTTTTCAACCTCTCTGTATACAAAACGGCATACACAAATATATATACTCTCCGGCCGCGTCGCGCGCTGTGTATAGTATCGTCGGCAGATCGATCGGCAACGAATACAGAGAGAGTCGCGCGGCGCATATTTGCGCGCTGTGTCTCGCGCGCGCGATATTGAATTTATTTACGTATTTGTTCTGCGCGTGTCGTTATTCCGTCTGCCACGTGCGACTCGAGATTTATTAATCCGCGTGCACGAGTTTCCGTTTTCAAGGAGAGAAAGAGAGAAAAAAGCTCGCTCGCGCGCGCTCTCTCTCTCTCTCTCTCACTCTCGTTCGCAGCTTGTTTCATAATCCTCCTCTCCGAGTATCGCTTGAAAAATTTCATATATCACAGAAAAAGAATATTCACATATACACATATATCTGGCACGCGCGCGCGCGCGCGCGCGCGTTAATGACGTAAAAATTAAACACACGCGAAAGAACACTCACGTCGTTCTCGTTCTTCTTGTAGAGCCGTATTGTCCTTATGTGAAAATTGGCGAGTTCCTCTTCCTTCAACACGGAAACGCCAATACCGCCGTACTCCTCGTCTTTGTCTTTGCTCGCCGGCCAGTACTGCACACACATCACCTGCACAAGAAAGTTGCAACTGAGGGGGAAAAAAAAAAAAAAAAAAAAACTGTGTATAGAGAGTAATACGTAAAGAATTTATAACTCCGACGGAGACTCTCTCCGGTCGAGCTTTAAAGCTGACATTATTATTTCCGGTGTACTGGTTCCGTATACAGTCCGATCTTATATTTTTTTTAAAAGATCGTCCCAAGTTCTCATTTCATCTCTCGAGAGATGTTGTGTAGCCAATGGGACGCGCTATGTCCGTACGCGCGACGTCTCAGGATAAACTTAAGACGGAATTTTAAAATATATAAGAGATCGGACCCGCTCTCTCTGAGAGAGAGGAGAGACTCGCGCGAGACTTTCGACTTTTCGTTCGTTGCGAAGAGCAAAGCTCTTGCTCCTTTGCGGCAACTTTAATGGACGTTACTTCCGAGCAGCTTTCCATCTCTGTGCGCGTTTTGTATCTCATGTTTGTTTGTTTGTTTGCTTTCTTTTTTTTTCTCTCGAGAAAAAAGTCTTGTCTATCTTAAATAGACTTTTACCATGATAAAGTCGAAGGTTTTCGTGAGCATAACAATGCAGGAAGCTTGTTCCTGCCAGACCATTCGCCAGAATTCTGTCACCGTGTTCTCCATAGGTCCCTGAGTGACGATGTAAGCGTTTGGCTTCAGTATACTCTGAAATATATACAGTGTTTTAACTTTCGATTATTCAAATGTTGGCCGACGTCATTAATATTCGTCCAAATCGTCCGTGGAACGATCGGCTTGCGCAATCGTTCTGAGCGTGTGCGCGCGCGCGCTAGAGGAGGGGAGGGAGGGAAGAGAAAAAGCGCAAGAGAGAAAGACGCGTATTCAAATTTAGTTCGGCTCTAACGGGAGTCCTCTGGTTATTTCTCCGTACGTACGAGAACGTACGTGATCCAATTGCGCGTTGTAGCGAGTATCGCGCGCACGCGCGCGCACGATTCGCAATTCAGAGCGCGAATTAATTATTTGCCAAGAACCTTTGGGATATATATTATATGCATTTATTGGATATATCATGATATATACTCACATCTACATAGGACGCATTAATGTAATCGGAATCGGACTCGCCCTCTATCGTCTCCAACACTACCCTATTATAGTCATCTACGGAAAGAAAAGAACGGAGAGAAAAAACAATTGGGATCTCAGACGGGGTGGGATTTCCTTTTTTTTTTGTTTCTCTCTCGTAGAAACGGAAATAAATTCTCGTTAAAGAAGCGGCGCACTCCGGCAATTGCAACTACGTTCTTGTAAATTTAATTTTACCCCGGGAAAACTGATTAACCGAAATCCCAAAAAATCGCCGGGAAATGATTTTTTTTTTTTTTATGTTGTATTCCGAGAACAGGAAGAAAGATTATCTATGGATATTCACCCCAAGAGATAGATATTCTTTTATTTCGAGCTTTAAATTATTGAAATTGTTAAATTGTTAAAAGACAGAATATATACGCGCCGCCACGTTGGTAACGTTACAACAAATGTGTTCGCTCGTTCGCTCGTCGGATAATTACAAAAACGTTGCAACTCGTTGCGCAGCTCTTCATAGTTTCGAATTGGCGTTTTATTCCATTTACTTGTGCTAATTGCGCGTGCAATCAACGTGATTCTCTCTTCCGGACGCGGAAGCGGTAATAATCGCGGTGACGTAATAAACACGGGCTCGCGATCGACGACTACTACCTACATGGAATACACTTTTGATTCTGATTCTTCTCCTTGTTCGCCGGTTTCATGGCGTGTCTGCACGAATGCGTTTCCACCTTCAACGCTGTCTACAACATAGAAAAAAAACAAAACAACAAAATCAAAAGATAGAGAAATCGGATTGCGCAATGCAATTTGTGTTACAACGTATGCAAATTATTAGCGAAATAATTGCGAACAAGTATATCGCATTTGCTTGTTTGTAACAATTTGCAATTAATGTTTTAACACGTATATATATATATATATATACACGTATAACAAGAAGTAGAAAATTAAATTAAAATCACAGAAGGGTTTTTATATTAAACAATGGAGGGGCAGGGGGGACAAAAGTTTGTAAAAATAATTACCTATAAGTTATTCTTTGCGTTTTAAAAACTTAATCAGTTCGCAAGAGCTAATTATATGATATAAAAACTTCGGTTGTATATGTTCACGAGATTAAAAAAAAAAAATAAAAAAAAAATATATACTTTTTTTTCTGAAAGTTTCACAATAACCATATCGGAAAAAAGTTTTCCTTTAGCCAGGAAACGCGCGGAACTTCGGGATTCTTCGCGATTAATGCATACAGATAAGTTCAATTTCCCGTGGAAGATGCGTATTCCTTTGCGCAACGGAATTTTTTTTTTTTTTTTTTTAATCACCGGTACACGTCATACGTCTCGCGTTTAATTTTATCGGGAATCGCGAGTGAACATTGCAGACCTGTATTTTTGGCACGGCTCTAGCAGCTGCGAATATTTTCACGGTACGTATCGCGACGATACTGCACACTGTATATAGGTATGTATATAACATATAATACGTGAAAGTTGCCACGTAGTTTGCTTTGGCAATAGCAGATTGCTTGCGAGACCGTCTGATGATATATATTAGTAAACGCGAGAAAAGTTGCGCGTCCAACTGCGTCCTAAGCATTTGTCACATTATTTGTTCCGGATTCAAATTTTGTACAACGCAGTTGCGAGGTGTATCGACGACGATTACCGACACGATTCGTGCAATATCGTCAATTTATTGACGATGAATATATATATTTTAATGAGCAGTACACAGGAACGTTCTTATTACAATCTATACGTCGCCGGGAATTTAATTAATTTATTCTCACAAAGTAAATGAATATACACAATTCTCCCTCTCTCTCTTTCTCTATCTCTTTCTCGTTTATACACCCAGAAAGTTTTCGCATTCTACACGCGATTCATGAATACGCATGACGCTTTATCCGCTAGTATTTGTCGAACATCAGAAACTTTCATTTCCGATAATGGGCAGGCGAGTTTAAAATCACGCCCACAGATGATATTCGCGTCTCTCCGTGCAGTTGCACGGCCGGATTAAAATTCAGCAGCGACTCACCCATCCCTTTCCGCCACTACATCGTCCCACCCTTTTATTTTTCGTCATTCTCTTCCTCCTTTCGTTTTCTCCTCCGCATCTGTGTGTGTTTTTTTTTTTTTTTTTTTGTTCTTCTTCTCTCGTCGTTACTCGCGTATAATTCAGCAGATTTTTCCTATCGAATGCTGCGTGAAAAATTCGGTGCAAAGAAAGCACCGTTCTATATCTTTTTGGATGGGATGCAAAAACTCTCTCTCTCGGAACGAGGAAGGATGGGACGGTTGACGACGGTGCCAGACGAAAATGGCCATCGTATAAAAAGCGAGATTTCGCGTAGCGCACCACTCTCTCGTCGCGATTACACACAGAAAGGAGCTACCTTGCACGCCACAAGGACATCGGATACGCCGGGATAATCTGCGGGAGCGTATAAACTGCACCCCTTTCTCTTCGGAAGGCCCCGCGTCGTCGTGCATACACCGCACAGGCTAAAAGCCTTTTCGTGTCGATGGCGGATGCTCCGGAAAAAAAAAAAAAAAAAAAAGTCCGCCGCGTTTGTCGTGTTTAGTAAGCGCTTATCGCGCGCAGGTGTTTTTCTGATGACGCTACGTGGAAAATCGCACCGTGTGATGATTTCGCACTTTATTTTCTCTATTACGGACTCATATAAAGTAACGTGTGTGAAAAATCAAATTAACGAGTAGTTCAAACGCGTCGTTCGAGATGAGAAAAGAAATTTTTTTTATTGCGCGCGCAAGTAGTTTTACCTTACAGGATCGCGCGCACAAACAGAGAACAAAATCTCGCGCGCTCAAGTCTTTCCGCGTTCAAATAAAAAAAATTCTTCTCCGAAGAAGTAACAAATATTTTTCTCGTCGTATCGAAAAATACAGATCGATTTTACGCCTCGGAAGAGAGAAGAAGATGAGCGAAAGAAGACGCTGGTGAAATATATGTAAATATCGTCTGTAGACAACCTCGTCTACTGAAAACAGGAACGCGGGATAAAACCGCGTGCTGAGATATGAAGTGGAGGATAGAGATCAGACTCTGTCTCTGGATGTGGGTCTACCAAAGGCGTTGCAGAGAGTTAAGAATTCAATTGTGTCTCCTCGTCACTTGCGCGTGGAGTTTTCTTATTTCGCTACTTGCATAATAATAGGCGTGATGACTCGAAATAGACGGTCGGACTGTGTTACTGAGAATTTTAAAAAGCATCACTACACTTCGCAGCTCCTTGTCCCGCTTCTCTCTGTTACGACGACGTTATTCCGCGACGGCGTCTCACAGTGGTTTATATACAGCGGATTTTCTTCTTGTTGCGTTACTTAGCGAGCAAGAAAAAGTTCGCAATATGGTTTGAACGGATAAATTGGCGAATTCACGAATCAGCAGATGTTCTTGTTAACAATTTGTGTTCCACAGGTTAAAATATAACATCGACACACAATGTCAACGAGAATCACTGTATTAATATTTACAGAGTAATTAACATGCGCTGTACGAAACGTAAAACATCGCAATTTACTGATTTGCGATAAACTTTTTTTTTTTTTAGTCGAGATTCGTTGAGAAAAAATTGTGACGCGTTTTAATTTTCAAGATAAGTTTCGGGACATAGCAAACAATAAAATTAAAACTAAACAATTATGATTTAAGGCTCGTGAAATTAAATCAAGAAATATATAAGGCCTTATGAGCCGTTCCCAGGATGTTGAGCGGAAACTGTACGTGTATACAGGATGTCCCAGAATTGCCGTACAATCTCTCGTAGGCAGGTAGAAGAAGTAAAACTGAGTCGAAAAGTCCTGAACCATTTTTTTCTATTATTTATAATAAAGGAGTAATTATTGTGTAAATCAGGCCAATCAGCGCCGATCTTTATNCAGGCGCACGTCAGTGAGCCATGCGCCTGATGTGTGTGAGCACTCCGCGTAGTTCACTGACGTGCGCCTGGCTAAAGGTCGGCGCTGATTGGCCTGATTTACTCAATAATTACTCCTTTATTATAAATAATAGAAAAAAATGGTTCAGGACTTTTCGACTCAGTTTTACTCCTTCTACCTGCCTACGAGAGATTGTACGGCAATTCTGGGACACTCTGTGTATACATATATATATATATATACACATGTAACGAATTTAACTTGTAAATTTTTACAAGGCCTAACAGGGAAGGCGATGGCACGGAAAGCCGGAGATTCCAAGTTCGACTCCTGGCCGAGGAGTTTTTTTCGCAATATTTTAAAATTAGTAAGGGGGGTATCCGGGGTCTCTCATATGTGAAATGCAAATCTAGCATCCCGTATGAATTTGAGAACTGAGATTTCAATTCAAAAAATACTCATTTGTAAAAATTTACAAGTTGAATTTGTTACATGTGTGTATATATATATATATATATACACGTACAGTTTCCGCTCAACATCCTGGGAACGGCTCGTAAGGCCTTATATATTTCTTGAAATTAAAACTCTTTCTAGCGGTAGAATAGATTCGAAAGATAATGTTTTAATTAAGATATTTAACGGAGATCGCGCGCGAACTTGACGAAATTCCGGCGGTAACACGCGCGGCCGATGTCGTCGAGCTTTGACTATCTCCTTGGAGATCGAGTGCGACGTAATATTCGCGGCAAATTGCCGGAGCCAAAGCGTGTCTACGTGTGCCCGAGCGCAAGCGCGCGCGAAATTCGCGCATCGGAAGCGGCGTTGTTTAATGAGAAACCGATATTACTCGGCTCGAATCTCGATTTCTCGACGTACCGACAATGAGAGGTTCACTTTGTCTCTCTTGGCTGTTTGCCTATCCCCGGAACACTCTGCAATATCCACATCAAGTACGCCTACGTGGCCGCACGTACGTACAGGATCAGCTGTGTGTGACGCGCACGTACTTCCAATATATGTACGTATCGACGTATACAAGCAAATAAACGTATTCCGGCATCTAACAACTGATCGACGTTTGCTCTCAATTTTCATCAGATATATCGAGAGGAGTAATTGCAAGAAGTAAATCGCGCTGCTACAAAATAATCGCACGATTACTTATGTGCCTGCACGTAAGATGCAAATTTCTAACTCCGCGTTAACAAGACAGAACCATTTATTTCATAATATAACTAAAGTGAATTATGCAAATTATACGGACGCAGTTTTGAAAAATAATAAAATATAAAATTATTACAAATATTCTCGGTTATCGCTAAAATAATCGATTGGAATATTGGAGAATGAGAATAAGAGAACTGTAAAAGATTGCGCGCGAGCGAAGCAACAAAGTCTCAGCCCGACAATATACGGAAGTAACCAAAGTTAGATGAGCGGATGGGAAATGGGGGATTTACAAGATCTCACCTGAAACTCCAACCGGTACAGGACCGGGAATTTTCTACGCAGCTCGCAGAGCTTCGGAAACTGCGATAGCTCGGTCGGCGCGGTCGGCAATGTGGTGTTCATTTTACTGCTGTCGTACTCTTCCGAGGCTGTAACATAAAATCACAGAAAAAGGAGAATTAAAGTACAATAAAATAGTTTATTGTTAATATATATATATATATCGCCGCATAGTTTTTTCTTTAACAAAGTCAATATACACAGACGTAGATATTAAACCACACCGAAAAAATTATATTCTCGTAAGTAGAAGATTTTATAATAGTGTGGTTAAGGCAGTTAGAGCATAATACCGGTGTTGATGTGTAAATGTGTAAAAAGTTAATTTATTTAACACGAGTGAGTATATATAAACGTTTTGACTTTCTTTTTAGGTTCTTATCAATATATTAGATACGCTGATGTTATTATCTTCGCAATAAGATGTACATTTTACAAAACATGTTACACGAGAAGCTCAGTAGCAACTGAAGATTTGATACTTAAAAAATCTTCTTAAAGATTTTAGATGATATTCTTCTGAAATTAAAAATATATTCTTTATTTAAGAATATATTCTTAATTTAAGAATATATTCTTTTTCGATAGTGAGATATATATATGTTTTTCTATAGAGGCTTTTTATATTCTAATCAGTAAATATTCTTATCAATATTACTATTTAGAGGATTTTCCTCTTAAAATAAGATACTCTTCTTGGCGCCTATTTTAGTATAAAATATACTTGAAGTAAGTGGGATATCTCTCCTCAAAACAAGAATACAATTTTTTCGGTAATATGATAAAACGAACCGAGAAAAACCTTCCTTCGATTAGTTGCAGATTGTTCGTTTTTTTTTTTTTTTTTGCGAGCTATAAAATTTTTTGCTCGCAGGAACCAAAACTCTCTCAAGAGACTAGAAAGACAGATGGAAAAATGCGATAAGCCAAGATGCGAAGGACAGATGCGTCGGTGAGACAAACCGCCGCTTCACTCGAGGAAAATTTGCAGCTGCTTGTCACTTTCAGTACTATATATGTACGTACATACATGACTCTCTCGAGACATGTGCACTCACATTGCCGCTCGAATGGGCTTACGTACACGTGTGTATGTGTGTGTGTATGTTCTATCCTCCTGAAAATTATTAATCCTCTGAGAAGCGCGCGAAACGCTTGTGAACTTGGTTGAATATAGGTAGTTGACATTAACGTAATAATTTCCCAGAGTTCTATAAAAGTTAAGAGTTAATTGTTAGCTCTCTCTCTCTCTCTCTCTCTCTCTCTCTCTCTCTCTCTCTCACACACACACACACACACTCTCTCACTGCTCTCGGTAAAATAAAGCCGAGTGTGGATTAATCTTTCGGGGGGATTGTTCGATAAAGAACATTGAACGCGATAAGTCTCCAAGAAAATTGAGAGACAGAGACGAGACTTCCATTTAATCTGTTTTAGTGCCGAACTACTTGTGATAGCATTGAATAATGAAAATATTAATGATGATAATAGAAAGAGAGAGAGAGAGAGAGAGAGAGAGAGAGGGAGAGTGACAGTCTAACCGCGAGAGCAGAGAGAATTAAAGAATTCTCTTTGAAACTTAAAGCGACTTTGAAGTGAGCGAGCGAGAGAGAGAGAGTTTAAAGAGTTTTAATCTGTTAATTAGAATTTCTATTAGTCACCGATAATGAATCGGTGAACTTGTTATTTTCTAGTGTGTCGCAGGTTTTGGTTTCGCAACTTGTCGAGAAAGACGCATTTGATATTTAAATGCGATCACAATTTACAAAAGCGAGAGAGTTTAAAGAGAGTTTAATCTGTTAATTAAAATTTTTATTGGTCGCCCCGATAATAAAATCGGTTTAATTCCCTTTTTTAATTTCGCCTGTCTGTCGAAAAAGACACATTGATATTCAAATGCGAGCGCAAGTTACAAAAGCTTTGCTACAAATATATTAGATACACAACCAACATGTGTTTATCAATCACACACTTTTTTTTATAAACCGCGTATAAAATACGTTCGATACAGAGACTTATGTCCGAGCGAGAATTAAATTAAAAATACAGAAATTTTTACTCATTTACACACACACACACACACACACACACACACACATACGCGGTAATCTCTTTAGCATATGCAAACAAGCGTGAAAACCGAATATTTTATAAGTCATGCATTTTACAACACACGCGTGTGACGATCATGAAAAGTTTCGGTGCGCAATCGTATCGTGTTAATAAACAAAAGAACAATTCACGTGAAGTAAAACGCTGTGTCTATGCGCGATAATAACAGATTAACGTTATTTCCACAATTTGAACCCGCGGATTTGTATAATTCACATATTGTCCGTTATCATTCAATTCACGTGTGCGCGCTCACGTTTAATAGGATTTATATTAATTAATTCGCGCGCGCGCACGCGCTCAATAACAACGGATTTCTCTAATTATGCGACATATACTTCGTATAATGTTGTTGTGCTGTATAAGTGCAACACGTCTCATTATCCCTTTGTTCCTCTCGAATACAAGAAACTGCGCTTAGCGCACGTTCGCGACAATACGGCGGCTGCGGTTGTTCCGCAACGGCTTTTGTATTTGTACGTCGCGATACGTTGATAATCTGACAAAATTGTTTTTTGATATCCCGCTTTAATTAACAATTATTTCCCAACTTAACAGAGATTTTTCCTTCAATCGACGACAATTATTAGAAATATCGCGACCGAATATATAATATTAGCTCTCGCAACGCGCCGCATCGCAATTTGTTTGCAAAATGCGCGATAAAAGTCTCACGGAAACGCATAAATTTTACTTCCTAGTTTGGGATGTGCGCTGTTGTGTGTGTTTTCTGAGAAAATATAACACACACCACGTGTTCTCCGAGTTTGCACGAATCGCGCGTCTCGCCAGATCCCCGGGAACCCGTGTATGAAGAAGCGAAAACACGTAAACGGTCGGCGTCGATGTCTGTTTATCGGTTCGAATTTATCGACGCATCGTACATCTATTATTAGACTCGCATGCGCGCGTAATACCGCGCATAATATATAATGTAAATCAAGTTTAGCTCCCGCTCTGCGCGAGAGGATCTTGATTGCTTGTGGATGTGCTGCTACATGATATTACATGCAGGATGAGACGCATCGCGCGCTTTTACGCAAACGTGCGAAAATAAAAAAATAAAAAAAAAAAAAAAAAACCAAAATTGATCATGAAAGAGAATTTCGGGAGTCAGGAATAATTGTTATGCCGTCGGATAAATATTTTAACGCGCGTATCGTTTCGAAACGTTGAAAAAATAAAACTGCCGCTCTGAAACCATTTATTCAATGACGCGTCTCTCTGGGAAAACGTTACCCATATTCAAAAAACTACATCAAAGCGTAACGTATATGTGTAACGGCGCAAAAAAAAAGATAAATCGCGCTCATAATCACCTTCTCTCTGATGTCAGCCGAATGTTCTGCGAAAAAAACTAAAGAATTCACTAAGCTTTGCGGTCGTTACGCGTTCATACGACACACTCTCGTGTAATCTCCGAACGAGGGCGGTCAACGAACAGAAAACGACGTTTTCTCTCCCGCCGCAAGTCGAGCTCGGGAAATTTCTTTGAAACTCTCTCTCTCTCTCTCTATGTCAATTGGAGGAGGAGGAGGAGGAGGAAAAGGGAGAATGGTTACAAAGGGCAAACGTCCCCGTTTGAACACGACCGAAAAGCCGCGCGCGACTACTTTGAACCTTCAGACGGAACAGTCTCCCTCTCCACTTCTCGTGAGAGAAAAGCAAACCGATCTCGGTGTGATGAAAGCCGCCTTGACACGCTTGGCCTACCTTCCCCACGTTAAGGTGACCTTCGGTGTATACATGTGTGAGAACGCGCGGAAGAAGGAATCTAATTAGACCTTTCTCTCTGTATCATCGAGTCTCTCTTCCTCTCTTCCTCGTCGAGCCTCCGTATCGATATCATCTCCTCCGTCTTAATTGCCCTTCCTCGGCTTCGTCGCCGTCCGTCGGCGGGTGGCCTTCTTTAAACCCCGAGAAGAGTTCTTGTGACAACCGCGAATTTCTTTTTTCAATCTTATATTTCTGCTTCTCTTTTTCTCCAAGTTATTCGAAAAACTTTTTTTTCCCAAATACCACACGATCTTTTCCCCCAAATATGTCGGAGGGAAATAACTCCGTTAGTTTTTGTACACCGAAAAAATTGTATTCTTGTTTTGAGGATATCCCACTTACTTTAACACATTGTTGACCGGCAATTTTACTGAAAATTTATCTCATGTCACCGGCTATTATTTCGTAATTGGAAATGGAAGTAAAACAATAAAAATAAACTTTAATAAATTTTATTTATTATTCAACTTTTAATATTTCTTTTTCGTATGATAAGCAGTATAACAATCACCTACGTGTAATGGTACACAACAGCTTTTACAAATATAAAAGCCGTTGTGTACCATTACTGCCGTAATGGTACATAAAACGCATCACGAGTTAACTCGTGACCGGTCAGCAACGTTCGGCCATAAAAACACGAGTTAACTCGTGACCGGTCAACAATGTGTTAAGTATATTTTATACTAAAATAGGCGCCAAGAAGAGTTTCTTATTTTAAGAGCAAAATTCTCTCTAAATAGTAATATTGATAAGAATATATCGTCACTCCCTACGTATAATCCCGTAACTCCAAAACGCAAATTTTAGAGGAGAGCAGTTTAAAAGTTGAAAGCTTCATATAGTTTCCCTAGTTAAGGGATCTTTCGGTTTTAAATTTTTACCATACTTATGAATATTTTTTTTTAATACTTGGTGACCACAAAGAACATGACTTTCTGAGTGTCACTATGCAATAAACTGAAAATCCCATATGTGACACTTATGTAATTATTCGTAGGGAGTGACGATATACTGATTAGAATATAAAAAGCCTCTATAGAAAAACATATATATCTCACTATCGAAAAAGACTATATTCTTAAATTAAAAATATATTCTTAAATAAAGAATATATTCTTAATTTCAAAAGAATATCATCTAAAATCTTTAAGAAGATTTTTTAAGTATAAAATCTTACGAGAATATCATTTTTTCGGTA